AACAAGTCTGACCGTCTGACCAAGGTATGACCGTCTGATTGTATGACCGTCTGACCATTTGGGTACGAAAAAGAAAGGTCTAAATTAAATTTAAACGATTTGAAAAGTTGTATAGGGGTTATAAAAATACTACTGCATCTTTTGGAGTTCTAATTTCATGTGTAAAAAAAATATCTTCCAACATAAGTCAATTGTATCCTATGTATTACACAAACACTACTAGTACTTTAGTTCTTCTTTGGAAGGAATTCTATTGTCAAACAAAAAATGTGGTCAATCCATATTGTTACGACCGAGTTTGAACTTAAACAATTTGTGATATGATATAATTATCACTATGTTAACATTTTTAAAACGATGAATTATGCAATTTCGAACAAGTCTGACCGTCTGACTATGGTATGACCGTCTGACCGTATGACCGTCTGACCATTTGGGTACGAAAAAGAAAGGTTTAAATTAAATTTAAACGATTTGAAAAGTTGTATAGGGGTTCTAAAAATAATTTTGCATCATTTTGGAGTTCTAATTTCATGTGTAAAAAAAAATCTTCCAACATAAGTCAATTGTATCTAATGTATTATACAAACACTACTATTACTTTAGGACTTATTTGGAAGGAGTTACATTATTGATGATATCATTGTTCTTGAAACCATGAGCAAAATCGGATCGGTTTGACCGGTGTGGTATTTCGGTAGCCAAAATTTCTCTCAGGATTTTCATCAAACACTTTCCATACATTCTCAAAATCTTCAACTTTGGTGTGCCATATCTCGTTATAAAGGAAAAATTTGACGAGTGTAAGCTTAAATGATATTGTTCCTTCGAATCGAATCGAAGTGAAACCCTAATAAGCTAAAATTCTATATAAGAAGAACATGTTTGATCAACACTTTTAAATTCGTAAATTCATCATTTTTGAAAAAGTATGACTAGTCTGACCAGTATAACCTTATGACCAGACTGATGATATGATCGGTATGACCAAAGGTTGACCGTCTGATTGTCTCACTAAAGTATCATCGGTTTGACCAAAGTTTGACCGTCTGACCGATTTGTTATATGAGATTATTATTATACCATATTAACACTTTTTAAAAATGATAAATTCATCAATTTTCAATAAGTTTGACTGTCTGACCAAATTCTGATTGTATGACCAATGTCTGACCGTCTTATCAAAGTGTGACCGGTATGACTATTTTTCACACGAAAAGTAAAGGTCTAAATTAACTTTAAACGATTCAAAAAGTTGTATAAGAGTTATAAGAATATATTTTTTATCGTTTTGGTGATCTAATTCCATGTATAAAAAAAATCTCTTAACATAAGTTATCTTCACCCAAAGTGTGACCGGCTAACCAAATTGTGACCTCTGACCAAAATCTGATCGGTATGACCAAAGTCTGACCGATATGACTAGTATGACGTGTTAAGAGCTAAATTTTCTCTGAGGATTTTTATCGAACACTTTCCATGCATTCTCAAATTCTTCAACTTTGGAACGTCGGATCTTGTCATAGTAGAGAAATATGTCGAGTGTAAGACAAAAATTAAGAAATTTTTTGTTAGAATCGCCAAGAAATATCTTTGGAGAGAAAAAGAAAAAAAAATTTACGTTTTGAATTTTTAGAAAAAGTGAGAGAAGAAATTTTCGAAGTTTTTTTCACTATATAGATAGAAGGTTGCCACGTATTCAATTTTTTAAGGGTAAACTAGTCTTTTCGTTGTTTTAGTTTTTTTTTAAAAAACCCTAAACCTAGAAGGTCATCCCTTGAAGTAAGAAACGACATTTGAGGTTATTTCTGCAATTTTCCCCGCTCTTAGCTTGTTTGTCCTTTTGACGATGGATGGTGCAGAGAAGGACCATACGAGTGCTCACCAGCTAAAACCCTCTCTCTCAACACGCGGTTTCGGACCACCTTCTCCCTCCTCGTTATTATTATAATCAAAATTAAATGCAATTTGGTTAAATAGTCCCAAAACTATATAGATTTAGTCACTATACTGTAATGAAATTTTACACACACTTTGACTGCCCCGACAGCCAATGAGATCGCAGACGTGTTTCCCACGTGGTAAGAATCTAGTTTCGTTTTTTTCTTTCCTTTTCTAAATATAGAATTTAACTGTGTTTTGTTTTTCGAGTCCCTGACCGATAAAAATAAAGCGGAGTTTGGTCAAATCCTGCAATCTATTTTTGTGGAGGCGTTAATGAATCTCACGTTCGTTTTTTTTTTCCTAACGAAATTTTAGTTTGGATTATTGATGATTTGGTTTAGATAATTTGAATAAAAATCTGTGTTCTTCATTTAATTAGTAACAAAAAAAAAGTTACTTCGAATTCTATTTTGATTTCTCACTTTTCTAATTAAAAAATACAAAATTCCAAAAACGTTAGAAAAGTGATTCTACGACAAAAAAAAAACAGAGAATTCAATTATATATAATTTATTTTGATTTTCAATAATTTAGTGACAAGAGAATTTGTAAAATATATTATTGTCGTGGATTTAAATCTAAATGCATTACGAATTTTTTCGATAAATATAATTAGATCAAAGTGGTGAATTTATGGATTATAAAAAAATTATATATAATTTACTTTTAATAAATGTGAGTTGGACATAGAGAGAGAGAGAGAGAGAGGGAGGAAGATAATTACAGATTCTGACGATGTTCATTGTTCACATTCAATACTAACAACACATTTATAAATAAATAAAAATCGACAGTGACCACTTGTCACGAAGTCACCGGTCGGTCGTCTAAGGCTGCCAAAGCTCGACCCTTTGTCCCAAATATAAAAAATCCATAAATTAAATTCGAACCAACATAAAAAAAAAAGTTTACCCTTTTTCAGTTTACTTACAAAACTTGTTCGGATCCAGATTTCAGTAAAAAAAAAATTTACTCATTTTTTTTACTGTAGAGTCCTCGCACATATTTCAGGAGCGTATGGATCCTTAGAGAATCCAATAGTTTTAGAGATCAAACTTTTTTTTTTTATGTTGTGGAGAAAAAACTGAAGAATCAAACAAAAGTTTTAGCCTTTTTAAGGAACAATAACTAAAACTTTCCGTTGAACCGGTCACCTTCGGCTGGTTTACCTAGTGTTCATGGTTTGTCGACTATTGCGCAAAGTCGGAGGGTTTACTATCGGTATACTGACTGTCTGGTTTGAGGGACTGGGACGGTTGGGATTCGGTCCGAAGGGGTGTATGACGGGTTTTACCGTTATAAAAAAAAAACAATAACTAAAACTCGTTTACCCAAAAAAAGAACAACTAAAACTCAATTACCTTAAAAAAAATGGATAATAAAACCAATGATGAGATGAGATTCAATCAAGCGGAAACAAAACATAATGGGCATTTTTGAAGATTTGTCGTGTTTGTCGGTAAATGGGCTTTGGTGGCATACCCAAACCCAATCAATAATTTTGATTAAATTACATAAAAGGTCTCTTATTTTACAATATTTTTCTCTCATCTTTTAATATACAAATAGGTTCACCTACTTTTAAAATAGATATGTATCTTGTGACATTTGTGCCTTTTGTTTTTTTTTTTAACGTAATAAAATTTATCACTAAATCCAGAAAACCAAACAAACGTACGTTTGTAAAATTTTAAACCTTCTAATTATGGGTTTGTGAACACATGTTATGCAATCATATAACTAAACATGTCAAAAGGGTTGGACCGGTCTAATCAATTATGTGTTGGAGTGCAAATATATTTTTGAAACCGTGAATATAACTACAATATTATTTTATTTTTCAAAATTCGGCGATGTTCCTGTCCTATCATTGTGGAAGGGGTCAACGAAAGAAACGTAGAAAATCTAGAGATATTCAAACAAAAAATCTAGAGAAGTACACACAAAAATGACAATATATATATATATGAATCAAGGTTTTATTATCAAATTTCAAACATGCATTTTTTTGTTCTTTTTATTGGATTTTATCCATCTAAGATGTTTTTCTCTCTAGAAAGCTGATATAAAAACATTTATCGACACATTAATAAAAATATAATATTTATTTTGTTTTTATCGAATATAGATAAAAAAAAATTAATATTATTTGTTATTAATCTTAATTTAAACAATTAAGAATCATCTTAATAACACTCCTCGCGTTACACGGTATACATTGTTTGTGTGATATAGCATATATAATCATTATGCGGGCACTACGATAATATTTGGATGGAAGAAATGGAAACCTACGCATCACACTACCTTAGCTACCATTGTTAATATAGGCTATGGATAGACGCGATTTTTAGAGTTTTTGAAATCCAAAAACTAAAAAAAATAACTAATTAATTTTTGTTACAAAGTTAAAACTAATTTAGCGAAAAAATCAACTAAAAACTAAAAATTTTATTTTTTGGATTTATAAATATTACAAAAACCAAAAACCAAAAATCATAAGTTAAAACCCAAAAACTAAATCACCATTTATAACCATAATAACTCTATCAAATCTAAATTTCATGATTAAATTTCAGAAAAAAAATACCAATATCGAATATTCAGAAAAATTAGATGATGCCAATATGTATCGATTATATATATAGAATAACTATAGTTTTCCCAAGCAGCTATAATTAATTTGTTGAGCAATGCATTTTCAAGTCACAAGCCCAAATTGCTTTCACATTATGGAAAAAAATATTAAAAGAAGTAAATAAAAGATTAAGCACTAAGCAAAGACGATTATAAAGACTAATGACGATATGAGAAGAGAAAATGATGGCTAACAAAATGCACGTCAACTCAATGGATTAATAAAGCGAGATAAGCTCGAATTTAATTACGCTATTTAGGCGAGTTGTAATATTTCCTCAAAATGATATTATATAGATCATAAATTATCTTAATTAAATCTAATTTGGATAGCTCATAAGCTGAAAGAGAGGGTTGTACGTCCCGAATTCGAATATCAAATTGAAAAAGAGAGTATAATTCTAATCACATAACTTGTTTTCGATTCCAAGATTAGTTTGGACTTTTTCGCTATAGGATATCCAGTTAAAAAAAATTATTTTAATAGAAAAAAAAAAGAAAAAAAAATGAGGAAAGTTATTGTTATTATTATTATTATTATTATTATTCTCACTTTTTTCAAGATTTTCCTCTCGTTTATTTATATGTGTATATATATATAGATTAATCTGCAATCATTAAAGATGAAGAATCTTTGTCTATGTAACTGCTGTTGTTAATTAAAAGTATCGCACAATAATTCTCCATTATTGCAGCCCATTATTAATTAATTTTGTAAAGTTGATATTGTTTGGAGATCATGCCTTTGTATATGAAACAAAAACTAAACTTTACCATTCATATATTTAATAAAAACTATATATATATATTTGATTTTCATTGGTTCTATTCTATCGTGTTATCTTTAGAAATTTTATGGTTTAATTTTATTCGTTTGGAAGTTTGAGGTTTTCTCGTGCATTATAAATTTTAGTTTTTTTTTTTTATAAATTTGTTCTTACAATTTTCTATTTTTTTCGTGTATTATTTTTCATTTTTTAATTCGAAGTATTAAGCGTGTGTATTTTTATTGTTTTAAATTATGTATGAAGTTATAACTAAGCTATCAAAAGCTTTCAATCCTCAACATTTAAAGTGACGAGCGAGCCGGCTTGAACACCGAAATGGTAGAGCTAAGAATTCTGAGGAGATCCGGAATTATCGAGCTTCAAATCTGAGATACAGAAAACCCTAAAGCCAAAACGTCGAAAAGATCGCAGATTTGGGATCGTTCGTGTCAATTTACTGGAATTCTTTATACGCAACGAAGAGAGAGAGAGAGCATACGTGCAGCGAGAGGGCAGGAGGAAATTGGCAGGTGTCACTGATTCAATAGGCTTTGCGCTTCCCAATTCTTTCGAATTTCTTTTTTGTTGCCTTTCGTTTTCTCGTAAACTGTGACGGGAAAAAATATTATTTTTTCCTCTTTGCTTTTCCCAGAGTGACGCCATTGAAGCCGCTCACTGTTAGTGGCCTTATTCTGCGTCTGATGCAACCCTAGTTTCTCTCTCTTCATATATATCTCGTCTCTTCTTCTTCTTCTACTTTGCAACGATAAAGCGGTCATTTTTAATTCTTATGTTTGATTCGGACATCTGGGTTTGCCTCCGTTTTCCCGGTACTTCTCTGGGTCTGTTCCTTTCATCGCAGTTTCACAAGGGTTTTTGTCTGTTGGCGGCAGAGATTTCGTTTCGATCGGTTTTGTTAATGGTCTTAGGACATGTTTTACGGCGGTTTCTGTTCGTCTTGATTCACAAGAGCTTGTCTGATACTATGTTCTTATCCCCCTTTTTTATGATCTTCTGATCCAGATTCCAGGCGATTAGCTTCACTGACCAGCGACTGCCCTATTGAATTCTCTCAAGATTTCCAGAAATAGAAACGAGTATGAGTGGAGCTGTGCTTGTTGCTGTTGCTGCTGCCATTGGTAACTTCTTACAAGGATGGGACAACGCAACCATTGCAGGTAATTTCTCGTTCTATCCCGAATTCTGGGCTTGGATTTAGGGAGAAGTAAGAATCTTGATGCTTGTTGTTTATCATGATTATGATCCATGTGATGGGAATTCCATCTAGTTGTTTACAGATCCATTTCAATTACAATTACTTTCCAGCCATCTCGTTGGTTGTCCGAAGGAACAATTAGCTGTTCTTGCCTGCAGGAGCTGTGCTGTACATAAAAAAGGAGTTCGATTTGGAGAGTGAACCCACCATAGAAGGCCTGATTGTGGCTACGTCACTCATTGGTGCTACTCTCATTACAACATGCTCTGGAGGCATATCCGATTGGCTCGGTCGCCGTCCAATGCTTATAATCTCCTCTGTTCTCTATTTCGTCGGCGCTCTTACAATGTTATGGTCTCCCAACGTTTATGTCCTGCTCTTAGGAAGGCTGTTAGACGGGTTCGGAGTTGGTCTGGCTGTAACCTTAGTTCCGGTTTACATATCCGAGACAGCACCTTCCGAGATACGGGGTCTGTTGAATACGCTTCCTCAGTTCACGGGCTCCGGTGGCATGTTTATATCGTACTGTATGGTTTTCGGGATGTCACTGATGCAGTCTCCTAGCTGGAGATTGATGCTCGGAGTCCTTTTCATCCCGTCCCTTCTCTACTCCGCGTTGACGATTTTCTTCTTGCCCGAGTCCCCGAGGTGGCTCGTGAGCAAAGGCCGGATGCTCGAAGCCAAACGGGTCTTGCAGATGTTACGTGGCCGGGAAGATGTCTCGGGTAAGTTCTTTGTTATATGCCTGTAATAGCCTGTTTTTACATATGACTTATGGCTATGGATTTAGCATATGGACGATGATAGTGTTTCATAATTGATGAATAGGTGAGATGGCTTTGCTGGTTGAGGGGCTTGGAGTGGGGGGTGAAACGACTATAGAGGAATACATTATCGGGCCGGGGAGCGAGGTAGTGGAGGATCTCGATATAGCGGATGATGACAAGGATCGGATTAAGTTGTATGGTCCGGAAGAAGGTCTCACTTGGGTTGCACGGCCAGTCAAAGGAGGGAGCACGGTCAGTGTATTGTCACGCCACGGAAGCACGCTGAGCCGGAGACAAGGCTCTCTGATCGATCCCCTCGTCACGCTCTTCGGGAGCGTTCACGAAAAGCTTCCAGACGCCGGAAGCATGAGGAGCACCTTGTTCCCGCACCTCGGGAGTATGTTCAGCGTTGGAGGGAATCAGCCGAGGAACGAGGAATGGGATGACGAGATTCTTGACAGAGAAGGCGATGAATACCCGTCAGATGTTGAAGCTGGAGGAGACGATTCCGATAACGAGCTTCAATCTCCGTTGATCTCACGTCAGGCGACGAGCATGGAGAAGGAAATGCCTCCTGCCACCCATGGAACCCTTTCTACTTTCCGACATGGCAGTCAAGTTCAAGGGACTCCGGGCGAAACGACGGGTAGCATGGGGATTGGTGGCGGGTGGCAGGTGGCGTGGAAATGGACGGAAAGAGAAGGCGAAGACGGGAAAGAGGGCGGGTTCAAGAGGATATACTTGCATCAAGAGGGTGTTCCCGGATCTCGTCGGGGATCTATCCTTTCACTGCCGGGGGGCGATGCTGCTGAGCCGGAGTTCGTACAAGCGGCTGCTTTGGTGAGTCAGCCAGCTCTTTTCTCGAAGGAGCTCGCAAAACAACACCCTGTTGGTCCGGCTATGGTTCATCCAGCAGAAACCGCAACAAAAGGGCCGAGTTGGCATGACCTCTTTGAGCCTGGGGTCAAGCACGCTTTGTTAGTCGGTGTCGGAATGCAGATACTTCAGCAGGTAATAACGAAAGAAACCCGCTTAAAGACGTCGCTTTTAAACATTGTTCATTTCTTGTCGTTAGATGAAAGATGAAAACTTTTTCGGGTTTTTCGCGATTTAGTTCTCTGGTATCAACGGCGTTCTTTACTACACTCCTCAAATCCTGGAGCAAGCGGGCGTCGGGGTTCTGCTCTCGCACATCGGCGTTAGTTCTTCCTCCGCATCGTTGCTTATCAGCGCACTGACAACCTTAGTGATGTTACCCGCCATTGCTGTCGCAATGAGGCTCATGGATATTTCCGGTCGAAGGTGAGTCGATATTTACCGGCTTACACATCTCGAAACGGATGAACCCTAATGTTTCTCGACACGATCTTACCTCGTTTTTTGTAGGAGCCTGCTGCTCGGTACGATCCCGATCTTGATAGGATCTTTAATCGTCCTCGTGGTCTCGAATCTAGTCCACATGGACAATGTGGTTCACGCTGCCTTATCGACTGTGAGCATTGTGCTGTACTTCTGTTTCTTCGTGATGGGTTTCGGTCCCGTCCCAAACATCCTCTGTGCGGAAATCTTCCCGACCCGAGTCCGGGGCATATGCATCGCCATTTGCGCCCTCGCCTTCTGGACCGGAAACATAATCATCACTTACACTCTCCCCGTCTTGCTGAAATCGATCGGCCTAGCCGGCGTGTTCGGGATGTACGCCATCGTCTGTTGCGTCTCGTGGATCTTCGTGTTCGTCAAAGTTCCGGAAACCAAAGGCATGCCTCTTGAAGTCATTAGCGAGTTCTTCTCGGTCGGAGCCAGACAAGCTGCAGCTGCTAAAGACGACTGAACTGAACCGAGCCGCCATGTCCGAACCGAACCAGAGAACAGAGACGACAAGTTTTGCCTCTTGTGTTTATACACTTCCCTTTGTGTTTCTTATGGGTTTGCAGAACAGAACGTCGTCTTTCTACGTTCGTTGTGCAGAAATAATCGTATCTCCTTGTTTTCCCTATCGGGGAACTTTCATCAACGATTCAGTTCTGATTCGAATCTGCATTACTCGCATTGGTAGTGATACTGTCCAGAAAAAAACGGAAATCTGAATTTATTTCACAAGCAAAGATCTGTTCAATCGGACAGAACTGTAACAGAAAAAACCAAACATCAACCAGTTAAGACTTCAAGTTCCTAACTTCAAGGAATGCTTCCCCCGTCAAAAGCTGTCATCTTCACAGCTTTCATCCCCGGAATCAGTCGCCGGCTCAGGGGCGACCAGGATTTGTACGGACACTCTGCATCTCAGGACGGAGACTTTAGCGTACAAAGGTTTGGGTTTTGGTTGAAAATAGGTAATGGGATGCAAGATTTGCCCCCAAGATTTTGTTTTTTTCTTCTTCTTCTTCTTCTTTAGTGTATGAAGGTTCTCTGTCTTACAATTACAAGTTATTCTACAGTAACTTTATGCATCTAACTTGGTTATGCTATAATCTAATCAGTATCTGCAATAAACAAAATCGCTTTTTGGCTTACTACTCATTTGTCAATGGCTCATCATCATTCATCAGGACAGAACATGGTCGCTTCTGTTCTTTCAAGACCTTCTTCTTCTGTATCAGCACTGCAATGGTGTCTGGACGACTCCTATCCTTTCGGATCTGTTTCGGGAAACATCGTGATCATTCGAACATGTGTCATCCCTTTTCCGCTTCACCCTTCTCTTGACTTCTTCCTCCTTTTCATCGACAAAGGCTAGAAATGTCTGCAGTGTTTTAGAAGGCGAGGTTCTTGCTGAATCTATGGATTCCTCGGGCACGTGCTGGCAGAAATCGTGGACAATCTTGCCAAAGTAGATGAAGAGAGCGATGGAACAAACGATCCCGCACACGAGGAACAATCCCCAGAAGCTGTGAAGGTTAAGCTGTTCTGAGTTAGCTAGTTGCGAGTCTTGCGGGTCACTGCAGTTAGATTTCGACAGCCATTTGTCGTGGATCTTCTGAAGCTGTCCGCTTTCAGACAGGCTTAGGATCGCGGTCGACAAGTCAACTGCCAACGGAGAGTCTCTCGGGAACGCCTTCAGCCAAAAAAACGAGGACCATGATGATCAGATGATGTTAAAAAACAAGTGGTTAGATCTCGGAGGAGAGGAGCTACTTACAAATCCCCAGCCGCTTCTGGTGAATTCTTGGCCTCTGATAGCGAAATTGCAGTAATCGGAGAGGAAGAGGTCGACGTAGGGACGTTCGTCGACGATAGCGGAAACCGTACCGTTCTCGAGAGCAGCTGCGAATTCTTCGGGAGAGCTGAGGGGAATGAGTCTGGATTTCGCGATGTTCAGCTCATCAACCATGTAGTTTTCGGCAAAGGAACCGATCTGGAAGCCGATCCGGCCCGTGCTGCTGATGAGTGTGTCTACTCCTTTTATCGGCGAGATCAGCTGTTGGACCGTGAGAATCGACGTCAGGCTCGCTGTGTAGCTCGAGGTGATGATCAGAACCACGAAAAGCCAGATGAGTAGCACCATTCGCCCGAGCGTACTCACTGTGTTTTCTCCTGAAATTCCGATTTCGAAAGGCGTTTTTTCAAGAAATGAATGCTTAAACTGTAACTTGGCGCGATTTTCCGAGGAGAAGGGTACTTACTGTGGGAGAAAAACATGGTCGAGAAGCTGAACCTGAACCATAAGAACACGAGGAAACGAGAATATACAGGTCAGATCTTGCAGGTTCTTACTATGATATGCAAAAATATCCGTACAAAACTCCATTTATAAAGTTATTAGCCACTCGAAACATTATGGGACTCGGTTTTTTTTACGGTTTTTATGTTCGGTTTTAAGCCTTGAGACTGCATACTAACCACAAGATGGTCATGATTTGTCTCCTCGGCGGCCCCCGGAACTCGTCATTGATTCGATGTTCAAGAATCCATATAACTACCCCGACGATAATGAAAAAAGCCGCGGTTACAGCCCACATTTGCGGGGTAAACGGCCGTAAGAATGCCCAGGCATTTCTGTTCAGCTTCGTGACGGGCGCAATCACGACAAGCCCCGACTCTATATACGGCTGAGTAAAATCCACCACCCTCGTCCGTTTCGTGACAATGGCTACATCTCCTACGACTGCATCAAATACCTGCAAGAACAAAAGAAGAAGAAGAAGGAACCTTTCATTACAGTGGATAGCGATATCGATCATAGATTTGATTGCAGCATATGGTGTTTTCTCGAGCCTTTGACTCACCCCGGTGGTGATCTTGTTGACGAGTTCGTTGTAGTTCGGGTTCTTGATACCGTCTCCAAACAGGATGAACTCGTGAGGAGCAGCGTAAGGAAGCAGTTTTACCGCTCTTTCGAATATCTCTATGCAATACCCTTGCACTTTGTTGCTGCTGCCGTTGATTCTCTGTACAAAATCCTTGAAACTCGCCCGGTTAGGAACACCGATTCTCAATTTTCTCCCGTTGTTCGGGAAAACCCATCCACGAGGCGTCACGGAAGTTCCGCCGGGCCAAGTTACATTGTTCAGATGCTGGTTTGAGCTCGAACGGTTAGGAGGGCTGTGGTAAAATGGCTCTGGAGGCACGACAGAAAGCCCGGAATGGTTGGACCAGTATCCTATCTCCCGAAACCCATCATCAAGAACGTTGATAATGTCATACGACGGCTGTAGCATCGATCTGTCGGAATTAAACTGTATCTGACCAGTAAGACCAGACATCTTTGTTTTCAGGACATTCTTGAGTAGTTGTGATCCTTGATCAAAGATGCTCAATGCAGCTAGATTCAGTGCCCCGCCCTCCAGTTTCATCAGATTCGTGTCGTTGGAAAAAGAAATATTTCCTCCGGAATCAAGAAGAGTCTTGATAGCCTGAGCGACGATCCAGACAGTATCATAGGCATAGAGGGCATTAACATTAAACCCAACAGATCCATTACTCAGCTTGTTCCACCGTGCCATGAAATCCCGTTTCTTTCTTGAATCGGGAGTGTGAAGACGAAGCGTAAGAACTCCTCTGAGAGATTTGGCTGTCTCGGTAGGCAACGGCCACGATGCATCAAGCAGAGCAGACAGCCAGGTGGTAGCTATCCAGACATAACCTTTCTCTATCATGCCGAGTCTCTGAGCTTCCTCAAAGATCAATGCACCTGTCCTGGGGAAGGTGTTTACAACGATAATTCGAGATTCCATTCTCTGAATCTTTCCTAACTCATCCCTGATACGGGAACCCGAATGCGTTAAATCGATTGGAAGAACCGCCTTGTAAGAAATCTTGGACCGCCTCTCTTCAAGCTCGTCTCCTAACGTTGTTATGCCGTTTCTGCTTCCTTCATCATCGGTATGGACTGCAATCACATCCGACCAGCCATAGAAACTCACCATCTCGGCAATGGCACGCATCAGAAAAAGATCACTGGGTGCAGTCTGGACAAAGAAAGGGTACTGAAGAGGTGAGAGGCTAGGATCGAGAGCCATGAACGACAACAATGGAACGTGAAGCTCATTCGACAGATGTGACAGAACATGAGCCATTGTCGATGTCTGGGGACCGATTATAGCCACAGTATCAGTTTCCATAAACTGCAAAGCTGTGATCACAGATAAAGGGCAGACGAGTTACAAGACTAACAAAAAAAAAAAGAGACAACCTTAATCAACAACTCAACAAGATTCACTTTTTAGCGAACGAAGGGATATTCTCACCGCCCATTAAGCTGAGGAATCCGCTGGTTTTCCCGTTGTGCAAAGTTATATTCAGTTTAGAGCCGCCGAGGAAGCTAGGATCGGAATTCACATCGTTCTCGGCAGCTTTCATGGCGAAATTGGCAATCCGGCCATCAGTGGTGCTTAAACTGCAGATAGCTCCGACATTTACAACATCATGACGCCTAGAGGAAGCTCCTTCTGAAACTAACCCAGTACCAAGAACAATGAGGGCCAAGAGAACTGCAACCTGAGCCATAATTTGGCTGAAAACAGTCCCTGAAACACCTAAAATCACTCAGAAAGTGATCAGCAAGCAATTAGACCGAGCCCTCGAGCCGAGTTCCACATCCATGAAACTGGTTAGCCAACAAGACAAACAATCATTGGCAGGTTCAACTAAATCCAGATAGTGTTTTCCACAGAAGACAACATAAACTAGAGATTTTGTCAAGAACAGGAGCAAACTTTATCGAGGAAATGGGATGCCCAGAAGAAGAAAAATAGACCAGACAGCCATTTAGAGACAAGAACCATAAATGGAAGAGAAGCAAGTAGCTTTCTCACCAGTAAGAAAGAACCAAAAAAAAAACAGAAGTAAAGTGTCACGAGGAACAAACAATAACCTCAAACAAAGAGCAAACGCTTCGCTAAGGAATTAGAGACAGAGATGCCAAACCCAAACCCAAACACAACCTGAAAAAAAGATAACCAAAGGAAGATTCTGCGTTAGGACACAACAAAATTAAACTAAATTAAGTGAAAATGGAAACAAAAAAGAAAAAAGAAAAAAGGAAAAGGATACCCCAAGGAACATGAGGCACAAGCAAAAGAATAATCACAGGAAAGATCATAATGAAAATGACGCCACAGCTGTAAGAAAAAGGAGTTCTTTAGGTACCCATGAATAAAAAATCTGTGGAAACACTTCTAGATTTGGAAAAGGTTTCGACTTTGTGAATCAGAATCCATGAGGGGGAGCGATTTTTCAGCCCGAGAAAGCTTCAGAATGAAAATTTCTGGGTTTCTCGAGAGAATTTGGGAAGATTTTTCTTCGGAGGAGGAAGAAGATGATGTGAGGAGTGACATGGACAAACAACCACAGTGGAGGACCTGGAAACAAACCACAGGTTATGAGGGAAGAACATTGTCGGATGAATTCTCTGAACTGTTTTTTTCCCCGCAAGTTAACGCATTTAGCTTTCCCCACCAAAAAAATATATATTAAAAAAAAGATTATCTGATTGGATATGAAAGCTTTTCAACGTTGTGCGCTCAAAGGTTGGATTTTTTTAATAAACACTGGTTCGTTTCTTGGATTCGTGTTGGGGTTTAATGGTTGAATTTAAAAAAAAAAATCTCAGAGAAAACAAAAAAAAAACACATAATCTAGGGTTTAGTGCATTTGGGGTCCCCTCTATTTCTGAAAACTTTCTGAAAAAATCCTTACTTTTTTTTTATCAATTCTGGAATCACCAATAAGGACTATGATCTCTGGTCAAATTGCAAAATCCAAAGTGTCAAGGTCGTAAATGGATTCAAAACCATAATCCATCATCAGATGCCAAGTGTTTTAGTGTTGCTTCATTGACTACATTCACATACTTGTTATCCACAGACCAAAATATTCATGCCCTTTTACATTCTAAATTCTCTCATGTTTATTATGGAAAACAAGAAAATCATAATTCCTTGATTTGGAATTTACTTGGACTGCATTCAGGTTATGCTTTTGCAAAAATGTCTTGAATTTTCAAGGATTCAACTTTAATGGTATAGCAAGGATTTTTTTTTTTAAAAAAAAATCTTCTATTTTTTGTGTGTGTAGAAAGCTATATATATATATATGTTTTGAACATTGTTAGGGTAGAGAATCTTATGCATAAAAAGTAAGGGCATTTTGGCAATATTTATAAAATAGAAGGGATCGATTTTGATTTTTTATTTATTAAAAAATATATTTATTTATTTATTTTGCATTAATTGAATCCTATAAACGAAGAAAGGATATAAAAAAAATGAGATGCGATCTTCCATTTACTCCATGGGAGACAAACACAAACACTTCCGAATCTTTGGACACTGCTTCTTCGCGTTGAAAGCCTGTTGACTTGTGAAAACGCTGACAAGAACATCAGACACAGACATACATTGAATGTTTGAGTCACAATTTCTGACCGTTTTTTTTGGGTTTATTTTAAAAGAAAAACACAATGAGGTTGGTTCAATCGATTCGTATAAAGCCGTTAAAATCAGGCTTTGAATGGAGATGACTTTTATTTTGGGTTTTTGGTTTTAGTTTTTGGATTTTGGTTTTTAGTTTTTGGTTTTTGGTTTTTAGATTTTATAATATTTGAAAACTCAAAAAAAGTAGCTTTTGGTTTTTCATTGATTTTTTCACTAAAATAGTTTTCCAATGAAAATGACGCCACAGCTGTAAGAAAAAGGAGTTCTTTAGGTACCCATGAATAAAAAATCTGTGGAAACACTTCTAGATTTGGAAAAGGTTTCGACTTTGTGAATCAGAATCCATGAGGGGGAGCGATTTTTCAGCCCGAGAAAGCTTCAGAATGAAAATTTCTGGGTTTCTCGAGAGAATTTGGGAAGATTTTTCTTCGGAGGAGGAAGAAGATGATGTGAGGAGTGACATGGACAAACAACCACAGTGGAGGACCTGGAAACAAACCACAGGTTATGAGGGAAGAACATTGTCGGATGAATTCTCTGAACTGTTTTTTTCCCCGCAAGTTAACGCATTTAGCTTTCCCCACCAAAAAAATATATATTAAAAAAAAGATTATCTGATTGGATATGAAAGCTTTTCAACGTTGTGCGCTCAAAGGTTGGATTTTTTTAATAAACACTGGTTCGTTTCTTGGATTCGTGTTGGGGTTTAATGGTTGAATTTAAAAAAAAAAATCTCAGAGAAAACAAAAAAAAAACACATAATCTAGGGTTTAGTGCATTTGGGGTCCCCTCTATTTCTGAAAACTTTCTGAAAAAATCCTTACTTTTTTTTTATCAATTCTGGAATCACCAATAAGGACTATGATCTCTGGTCAAATTGCAAAATCCAAAGTGTCAAGGTCGTAAATGGATTCAAAACCATAATCCATCATCAGATGCCAAGTGTTTTAGTGTTGCTTCATTGACTACATTCACATACTTGTTATCCACAGACCAAAATATTCATGCCCTTTTACATTCTAAATTCTCTCATGTTTATTATGGAAAACAAGAAAATCATAATTCCTTGATTTGGAATTTACTTGGACTGCATTCAGGTTATGCTTTTGCAAAAATGTCTTGAATTTTCAAGGATTCAACTTTAATGGTATAGCAAGGATTTTTTTTTTTAAAAAAAAATCTTCTATTTTTTGTGTGTGTAGAAAGCTATATATATATATATGTTTTGAACATTGTTAGGGTAGAGAATCTTATGCATAAAAAGTAAGGGCATTTTGGCAATATTTATAAAATAGAAGGGATCGATTTTGATTTTTTATTTATTAAAAAATATATTTATTTATTTATTTTGCATTAATTGAATCCTATAAACGAAGAAAGGATATAAAAAAAATGAGATGCGATCTTCCATTTACTCCATGGGAGACAAACACAAACACTTCCGAATCTTTGGACACTGCTTCTTCGCGTTGAAAGCCTGTTGACTTGTGAAAACGCTGACAAGAACATCAGACACAGACATACATTGAATGTTTGAGTCACAATTTCTGACCGTTTTTTTTGGGTTTATTTTAAAAGAAAAACACAATGAGGTTGGTTCAATCGATTCGTATAAAGCCGTTAAAATCAGGCTTTGAATGGAGATGACTTTTATTTTGGGTTTTTGGTTTTAGTTTTTGGATTTTGGTTTTTAGTTTTTGGTTTTTGGTTTTTAGATTTTATAATATTTGAAAACTCAAAAAAAGTAGCTTTTGGTTTTTCATTGATTTTTTCACTAAAATAGTTTTCCAAGTTTTTAGGAAAAATAATTTTGTAAAAACTTGAATATTGTTTTTTTTTTTGTTTTTAGATTCTAAAAACTCCAAAAACTCCTACAATTCAAGGCCTCTTTAGAATCACAGTCATGGGCTAATAATGGTTATTCAAAGAAAGAACGGAAAAGGGTAACGGAGAGTGGGTTTTGTGGCAAAATCCACTGACGAATCCTCCCACCAATGTGATCTGAGGCTGTTCAATATCGAAACCCCACTCACAAAATATGCAAAATCCTAGCGCATTTTCAGAAATTTCTAATGGACCATCATCACCATCATCATTCATATCACCTCCTCTCTGCATTGCTTGCCTCACGTTTCACGAAAACGACTCTTTTAAAGATTCTGCATCCAACCCAAGATCATTGATCCTGTGTTTGAGCGTGCAGATGAACAAAGGTTTGATCTTTCAGATCTTTTTCTGGTCTTTTGAAGATGACAAATCACGTGTTTTTTTTTTGTGATAAACTAAGAACAGAGTGAAAACGGTACAAGCTGTTTTGAGATCTAAGCTGCAAAATCTGGCTTACGGGGTTTTTCTTTTGTTTGCTGGTAATGGCGACAATGCCTTCCCTCCTCGAACGTAGTTTCAGACAACTGTTTCCTCTACTCGTTGACGTTTTGCATCAGCGGAATCCAGACAACTGTTTCGGCTTCCATGGCTATGTCCGAACGTCCATCCAGGAAAATCTGATTCTGCAAACAGAGACGTTGGAACTGCTTTGTAGAACGCCAAAGGAACTTGTTTCACCCTTCTCCGAATCTGCGATTTAAAATCCACAATTAGTTCAGATTCGTTCTAAGTTTCACACTTGGAATTTGCCTGCACGAAGGAAATAACAATGGAAGACGAGTTTTTCCTTTTTTTCTGATTTCTGAATGCTAACAGATGCATTACCTCGTCCCCGAATATGGTGGCATATGAGCCAGAGCTGAAATCTTCTATATTCATCTCAGTGGTTTTTGCTCTGACGGTCAGATCGGTTTCCAGTGATGAAACAAATCTACACAGAAAGAGACACGACATCAGGGAGTTATCAAATGTAAAACTTAATCCTTAGACCAATTGGGACCGTCTTACCTCGAAACCGGCGGGCAGTAATGGTGGCGCAATGTGTCAATCTCCCATAAGGAACTCTCTGTAATGAGAGGTGCAATATTTCACCAATTCGAGTGAATATTAGTTTGATATTATATCATATAACCGTGAGACGATGAAACAAGAAAACATCTCATTGAATAACATAACATCACAATGGTTTCGGACAAGCAAATGATTAGGGTGTTTACAAAGATGTGAAAAAAACAGAGTCAGATGTGAAATCAGGAGAATGAAAAACTTACTCAGTGCACCGGATTTCTTGGGATCATCCTCCATATAATTGAAATGGTCAATCCCGGGCTTTTTATTAGTATTTTCTTCACGAGTTTTCTTATCATGTTCATCGGCTTCTGAATTCCCTTCCTTGGAATTTTCAGTGATTTCCTGCACAAAAGCAACCTCATTTCAGTCATTGGTTTGTTCATCTTGTTCTTTCCCATCCATTTATTGTCAAGCCCTTATGAAAATTAGTCTGAGTAAATAGGTCCTACCCGGTGGACAAGGCAGTTAATTGAAGGATGTCTTCGTAATAGGTTGTAGATTAAAGCCGTTATGACCAATGAGCCAGAGGGCGGGACAGAAAGCGACAATCTGCTCAACTTCTTCGTGAACGAAGCTGCTAAATACGCTGGAAGCATTGGTGACTTCAGGCAGGTATCAAGAAGCTGCAAATAAATGGGAGCAAAATAAAAATCGGGGACCAAATTCCAGTATTTATTAATAAAAAGATTTCGATATACCTGAAAAAACTTTGCTCTGTGCTTTGCTACAAATACAGAAGGGACCAATAGGGTGTAAAGCTTTTCGTAGAAGTTGGGGTACTCTATCTTGTGTGAAGTCATGAGGATGAAGAGACTGCTCAGAGCCATGACACTGACAACTCCACCGATATCATATGATTTCGTTAAAAAGTCACTGCACATTATCGGGCAAGAAAACATATAGATAAGCCACTCTTTCAAGAAGTAACGAGTGAATATACAGGGATGGAGTTGCGGTATATAAAGTCCGACCATAACATTGCCGGGTTAGAGAGATGAGGGATGACTGTGTTATGAAGATTAGCAAGAACCTGTTCATCAGAAGACAGCATTTTAGGTAATGGCTACACTACCACTATGTAATGATCGAGGATTAATCTGAAACTAGAGGGTCTAACCTCCTTGTAAACGTCGAGTGGAAGAGGTAGTCTGAGAAATGAAATCCATGCTTTTGTGAACTTCAACTTCATCCTTTTGGCTATCGTGGCTGGAGAAAGCACCTGGATTATCGATGAAAGATAAATATAGGAAGAAAAAATGGAATTTTCGTGATTCCATTTTTTATATAAACTTGCATATGAAAACTCACATTGTTATCACGTTCCTCGGTCTTGTGGTTTTTATCCGAAGGTTTCTTTTGAACAGTATCCCCTGAAAAGCCCGACAATTCTTTTAGACATTCAGATGAATATAATAAGAGATGTACTTTTAAACATGAGGAAAAACAAATAGACGAAAACCAGCAGACAAAGACAATTCATCACCTGAGCTACTACTCCACATCTCGTGGTGAGAATCTTCAGCATGTTTTTCTAAAGGCGGGATTCGAGATAAGACATGATAAATCTTCCGTACTGTAACTTCCATACTACAAAGTGGATAGGAAAGATCAACTTTGCAATTTGTTCAAACAATCAGACCACACAACAAGGGAAAACAAAGGTTTTCTAAACAGCAAAGCCGACATCACAGATTTTCATAAACTAACCGTTCTTTCAAGTGACTCCCTTTATCACCACTCATAGTTTCATCGCCTAAGACGGAAAAAACACATCAGAGACATAGACTTAGGACAAGGAAGATATCGAAAGAGAAAGCATCAACAAGTGTACCAGAGACAATTGTTGCTTGTAGAGTTTTAACCCACTTCTCCATGCTGATATAAGTAAAATAACTGGCAGAGACAGAAAACCAGGGTTGAGAAAACACGATCAAAATGAAAACAAGTAACATAATGCTTCAGCAGAAGAAGAAGGTTCAAAAACATACCGAACGTCAATGTACTTGAAATACTTCGAGGTAAAAATTTCCGAATAGATATCGATAGATACCGAAGAGTGAACCTGCAGAGACAAAAACATGAGACCAAACCTGAATGTTCTGCACTAAGGAAGCAAAGAACAGAACTTTTAGCTGCCCGCTCACAAGTAAATGAAACTTACAATAGCTTGAAGTAATCTGTGGTAGATGGCAGAGTGGAACTTTCCCCTGTTCCCAAGCTTTACAAACTCCATAAGTGTATCCAAAACAATTTCCTAATAAACCAGAGAATGTAGACAGAACATTAGAGACAAAGCTGAACTGTTGTCTCACCAAAATACTTCGAGCAAGAATCATTGATAAGCGAATAGACAACATTCCCTTGAATCTATGCCCAGACTATAAAAAAAGGACTGAGCTTTTACTAAGGAAACAGAAGAATTTTTTTCATCGACACCCGAAAATTTGCATCTTCCGAATTCCCATATCAGTGGAAAGAAAATTCTAAACGAAAGCAACAAAAATCTTGGAAACCCACAAAACTCTACAGAGCGCATGAACACACACAGAGACAGAGATAGAGAAACTTACCCTTAAAACATCCTCGGATTGCTCGGAGACCAGAACATCGAAGAGGAGTTTCACGAACTCATCGAACTTGGACCTTAGCCAAGCCCTGTAAATAACTTCGGGATCGTCATCTCCCGATTTTTCCGAAGGATCGCCGTCGTTGAGACGCCGCTTTGACGACGACGAAGATGATGATGAAGATGATGGAAGCTGAGAGAGAAGAGGGGTGAAGAAGGACTGGAGCGAAAGGAGGGATTCGACGACGAACTGAGGCGGAGAATCCGGCGAGACGAAGGAGAGAAGGAGAGGGAGGTTGTTGATGTGAGCTCGGGAAGATAAGAGGTCGCGACCCAATGACTTGAGCTCCTTCAACGTGTATTTCCCCTTCTTCTTCTGCTTCTTCGAGAGAATCGACGCCATTGTTGAGCTCCTGCTGTGGCGGTAACACGAGAACGTCCTCAAGTCAGAGGAGAAACAAAAACCTAAGTGTCAAGATTTCTACGACACGACGTCGTTTACCCACAATAAATGAATAAATACATGTAGGCCCGTATCTCTCTGAAAGTTTAGATTTTACCCAAAAAGTTCTAAAAAAACAATAATTACCCCAGTGTTTGCTTGTGGTTCGGTTCGATATATTCGGTTAATGGGTTCAGCTATTTTGGATTTGAAAATTAATAATCATAGTTATTTGGTTTTAATAGATTCGATTATTTTCGGAATATTTTTGAAAAAAAATTAAATACATTATTAGTTATATACGGTAGATATAAAGCTGTATAATATATCATATATTACTCTATATTAACCGGTGATACATAATAGGGTGATATTCGGATCGGTTCGGATTATTCGGATTTCGTTAATTCGGTTCGAGTTTTTCGGATTTAGAATATTTATATCCAATCGAATTTATAAATTTAATCGATTCGATTTAATTCGGGTTACGTTGGAGTTTGATTTCGAATTAATGTAAATAAAATAATATCCAGATAAAAATTCGATAAAAAAACTGTTCTAAAAATAAAACACAATACATAATTACATATTACATAATTAAAATAGGATTAACGAAATACAACACCATACGAACAGGAACAGATCGAACACCAAAGTGCAAATCATCGAACACCATATAAAGAACACCAAATTATAATTTAACCTTAATTGATTACGTTTGATCCGGATATAAATCGATTGGATTTTCAAGTAACCTTTGCCTATAGCAAATTAGCAATCATCGAAACATTAATATAATAAAATTAAAATAAATAATATTATTTTTATTAATTTCAAACGATTTTATTTTTAGTCACACGTGCGACACGTGGCGATACAGTAGCTCCACTCGGAGTCTCGGACTATCAGTTTCCACCGCAAAATTACCATCTCCGAAAAGACACGGACTTGAACGGTTCTTTCAGTTCGTGAACAAGATCCAAAAAAACACGAAGATCATGATGTCGACGACTCTCGCTTGCAACGTTTCTGCAAAAGCTGTCTCTCGTCTTCCCAAGATCGAATCTTCGTCTTCCTCCTCGGAACCGTACAGTAACCAGGCCATGAAGAGATGCTTGCGATGCAACACGCTCTACCTCCACGCCCACAACTCTCCCACCGCCTGCTCCTTCCATGGCCATACCAACGGTATGTATACACATATATACACATATACATACAGGTGGAAGTGATTGTGAGTTGTTTGTGCGGGTAGGAGACAAGGGTCTGTTCGCGTTAGCTCCGCCGCATCAGGGAATCGACGGAGAGTGGACGGACAGTTCCGGCGTGATCGTTTACAAGTGGAACGACAAACACAACAGACCAAACACTGGTCCTTCCAACTGGAGACGGCGATGGAGTTGCTGCTCTGAGTACGATGAAAACGCCCCTCCCTGTCGGAAAGGCTTCCATGTCTGCTACGACGATGGCTTCACCCTCTTCTAGTTTCATACCCATCTCTTGTTTTCCACAGATATGATCATATACATATATGTATTCACCAATAATCATCAAATCAAGAGGTACACAGACATGGGTTTGATTATACAAACTCACAAACACAGAGGCAAGGAGAAGGAGTGTGGGTCGGATCAGGACGAGGAGCCGGAGACAGTCTTGAAGGAATCGTGGAGATGCCTTAAGGTATCTTCGTCGCGGTTCCATTCAGGGGCAGGGGCGTTGACGAAATGGGCGTAGAGCTTGTTCTTCGCGCATGTCACCGCGATCAAGCTGTGCTTTCCGATCCCTTCGATCTCGTACACGTAATACACCTGACCCTGCTCGTCCTTCTTCTCCTCCGACAACACATTGTCGGCGCCGGCGATCAGATCCTGCAGATCAACGTCCGACAATGCCAGGTTGTTCAGTATCACGTCCCGAGGGGCTAGCTGTCTGAACCCCGACAGGAACGTCAGGTACTCCCTCTCCGTCCTCTTCTTAGGGTTGTAGAATTCGCTGTCCGTACCGTTCGTCCCCTTCTCCACCTTCGACACCAGCCTCTCCTTCCAACCCTCCGGTACCTCGTACACGTACTCCGCCGACGTCTTCGGGTCTGAATTCCCGCCATAGCCGCCGTAGTTAGCCGCACTCGCCGCGGTTCCGTAGTACACCCTGAAAGCCTCCGCCGGCAGCGCGGGGGCCGTCGCCATCACGGAGACGGCGGCAAAAGCGGCCGCAGCCGTGAGTGAGGCGCTCGTACGCGGCGGCGGAGACCTCGCCGGAGGCGGGGTTGTCTTTGCGGCGGCGGAGATTACAGGCGACGCAGAGAAGATATTTGTGGCCATGGTTTTACCACTTGGATAACGCAACTCAAGCCGGAGATGGAGACATTATCAAAAGTTTTTTATGGGCTTTGGGTCCATTAACGGCCCAATATATTGTATTGAAGGCCATTTTAAAAGCCCAACAAGATACAAATATCAAAGGGTAAGGATGATTAATAACTCAATAAATGAGCGAATTGATTCCAACTCAATTATATATCGAATGGTTATTATTTTTCTAAAATCGAAAATCGAATCAGATAAAAAAATAGAAAACAACAAAAAATTATATATGAATATTTTTAACAATAAAAATGGAAATGAAAGGAACCCAAATCAAATAATACGACCGAATTAAGACAAGACATAATACGGCGCGTGTGACTTTTGCGAGCATAAGCTCGTGGTCTTTGTGCCGCGTATGTAAACAATTACGTGTATTGAATATTTTAAAAAATATATAAAAAGCAAAAATTTTGAATCCGAAAATAAGTAATATGAACCCAAATCAAATGCCTAACTAGCAGGCAGACACGGTCAATTAAAATAATTTCAATTAAATAAAACAAAACTAATAACTTTCAGCCTGTTTTCGTCAGAATTTTTTTTTCCCTTTTTGGTTTAAATTATTTTTAAATAATACTTCGCTCTAAATAACAAAAGTCCTTGTGCATATCAATTGGATGCGTTTTAAAGCCATAAATTTTTTAAAATTAATAGTTTTACAATTACAATGTTCTGTTATTTTAAAGAAGCCTAAAAATACTATATATATACTCACATACATTTTAGGTTTTCTGATGGTCTAACTTTTTTTTATTTATAATGTGAATTAAGTTCGAGATAAGTTTATATTACTTTTTTTTTTGTATAATAAAAATTGTTTTTATAATATAAGATAATGTTATAAGTTTTTGGTGGGAATAAATGAGTGCGATGGCACCTGGCTGGGCCCCACGGTCTCACAGATTCTTTTTAAAATTAAAAACAAAATCGTAATTAACAAGGCGCTTAGGTTCATGGATTTAGTCAAAGATTGACGAAACTTTTAAGCCAAGCATTGGAATTTGGAAGGGCATATCAATCAACTTGCAATTACTATTTTATTCAAGTTAAACCAAATAATTATGCCCCTAAAGATTGTTGTTAAATTATATACATATATATATATATTAAGCAAAACAAAAAAAATATTAAAAATGTATATAATATCAGAAATCATTTTCCGTCACAACCGTTATTCTCGAGATAACTACCATACTCTTTATAGTCAATATTAGGGTGGTGCGAAAATAGTTCGATTCAGTTTTTTTGCTTTTGGTGGTACAAAAATATATACGATCGGTTGTTATATCATATTCGTTTTGATCCGATTTAAGATTTTATTAATAAAATTTTAGATTCTCATAAAAAAAAAATTGGTTTTTCAGGTTTTTTAAAAAATTCAATTGGGTTTAAAAAAATCGATTTTGTAAAAATAAATAGTACTTCATATGTTTCAAAATATTTGTAATTTCAGATTATTTTCCATGTTTCAAAATATTTATCATTCTACATTTTCAAGACATTTTTTACAATAGTTTTTAATTTTATCTCTGTCAAATATTAATAAATTATTAACGATAACATTGTTCTTTCTTAAAAAATATAAAATAATGTAAAACAACAATTATTTTGAAATGGAGGGAGTATTAATTTTTTTTGAACGATTCAATTAAAAATTGATACCATATTTTTTCGATCCTGGTTCGATTTCGAAAACCTTACCAAAACGTCCAACACCCGGTCAATATTTCCTTAGATTTAATTATTTGTGGCTTTTATATGATTCTCCTTTAATTATTTATCTTTATTTGAGAAGTTTACACACACAAAAAAAAGGCTTGTCAGCAAGAAAAAAAAAAAAGCGTTGGAGAATTTATTTGTCCGAAAAATATATATCCATGAATGGACTTTGACCTCTGTCTTCCCCTTCCTTCGCGCAGACAGACAGACGCGTTCCAGTTTTTTAAACTATTTGTTTTTTTTCCTCTCCCACTTGAGAGAGTGTGTATAATGATTCTTTCAGCATTTCGAATAAACAAATGGAGAAAAAAAAAACCCGCATGCTTATCGTTCCAATGAATATAATAGCCTCGGAGGGAGGAGGAGGAAAGAAATTTCGTCAACCCTTTCTTGACGCTGTTCGTCTCGTTTTTGTCTTCAACCTCCTTCTCTGTTTCAGACACTTCCCCCTTTCGGGTTTCTGTAACAGAGGATCGGTCTGGTACGGACATAATTGTGATCCCGAAAGGTTCGAGCTTTGGCGCCTGTGTATGTGGGATGGGTCTGTGCTGGGGCTCCCCGTCTGATTCTCCCGCAACACCTGGCTCGACTGGTAACATTACTTCGAAGCTCTTCCTTCAATTTCTCTCTCTGAAATTCTACTCGTTTCTTGTTTCAGTTCATCCTAGGGTTTTGATGAATGCATCCGTTCTTGCTTCTCTGGTTGTTTTGTACGATATTTCCGATCTGGGTTTTGCTTGGATTCGCGTTTAGTGCTTAAAAATCGCACCTTTGCTCTTGAATACGATGAATTCGTGTTCTTCTGTTCGAGCTTTGAAGTGGAATGGTTTGAATCGGACAGTGATATCGAAGTCAATCAGCAACACGACAGCTTCTACGGCTACTTCCGGAGGGAGTAACATCTCCAGCAATGGCGGATTCTCCGCAAGCAGCGGAGGAGACGAACCTTATCCAGACGGTCAGATACTATCCGCACCGAATCTGAGGGTATTCACTCTGACAGAACTCAAAGCCGCCACCAAGAACTTCAAGTCCGAGAATGTTCTTGGAGAGGGAGGGTTCGGAAAGGTATTCAAAGGGTGGCTCGAAGATAAGGCCTCGTCGACCGGTAGGCACGGTACCGCAACCGTGGTTGCGGTGAAGAGACTGAATTCCGAGAGCTTCCAAGGGTTCGAGGAATGGCAAGTGAGTGAAAAAGATCCGTGTTTCGACAGATAAAACCTGAACAGATAGCGTTTTGCGTTTGTGTTTTACGGGTTTGCATTGTTCGTTTTTCGCAGTCGGAGGTACATTTCCTCGGGAGGCTTTCTCATCCGAATCTCGTGAGACTGTCGGGGTACTGCTTGGAGGGTCGAGACCTGCTCTTAGTTTACGAGTTTATGCAGAAAGGGAGCTTAGAGAATCACCTCTTTCGAAGTAAGATTCGACGTCTTATGAACAAGGAACTTGCACGTTTTCAGTCAGGTAATCTTCTTTCCCGGGATTTCTCACATTGTTTTGCTTATGTATGTCGAAAGGGGGCTCGGCTATTCAGCCTCTCCCATGGGAAACACGACTTAGGATCGCCATTGGAGCCGCTAAAGGGTTGGCGTTCTTGCACGCTTCGGAGAAGAAAGTGATATATCGAGACTTCAAGGCCTCGAATATCCTCCTCGACGGGGTGAGCAAATTATTGCATAGTCTCTCGGGTATTGCCGAGAACAGAATTCAGAACGTTTTCCTATGGTTTTTGCTTCTCGTCTTGCAGTCATATACCGCGAAAATATCGGACTTTGGGTTGGCGAAATTGGGTCCTTCCGAAAGCCAATCTCACGTGACGACACGGGTTATGGGGACATACGGTTACGCAGCTCCAGAGTACGTCGCTACTGGTATTGATTCGTTCTCGGTCCGATTTGAATCTATCAAGGAATATCAGATGAGTCATTTTATACTAAATGTCGATATAACCTAACCCAAACCAAACCGAGATGTACCGAACTAAACCGGTTATATTCTCTAATACATATCTTCCATCTCGCAAAAACTGATACCGAATATAAACCATCATATTTGAGTACAAACCGAGTCAGACGTAAATCGGAAACCAAACTAAACCGAAACCGGACTAAACCGAAACCGGACCGAATTCAATCATCATATCGGATCGAATAACCATCGAAGAAAGATCGATCACATGAGATCAGAAAATCTGATGAATCAATTTCTGTTTTAAGTTTGTTTATAGTTTTCAAGACACTTGACTTGTTACTGGTTCCGACAGGACACTTGTACGTTAAGAGTGACGTGTTTGGTTTCGGGGTTGTCCTGGCCGAGATCCTGACCGGTTTACGAGCAGTAGACACGAGCCGGCCGAGCGGGCAACACAACCTGTCGGAATGGATCAAGCCGTATCTAGCCGACCGGAGGAAGCTGAGAAGCGTGATGGATCCTCGGCTAGAGGGAAAGTACTCGATAAAGGCCGCGTTCCGAGTGGCTGAACTCGCTCTGAAATGCATCGGACCCGAACCCAAGAAACGTCCGCCGATGAAAGAAGTGGTCGAAGCCCTCGAACGCGTCGAAGCTGCGAACGATAAGCCGTTGGAGCGACGACGGGCTCGTTCTTCCCCGACCGTTTCGAACCAGCAGAGCCATTATCATCGTTCACACCATCAGTCTCCGTGTCGTCCCAGGCAAGACAAGGTTCGAGCCTACTAGTGTTTTTTTTTTTTGTCGTGAAGGGTGAATTTGAGCCTACGAGTGTTATTATAATACGAACATGATTTATTTTTTTTGGTATTTGTTGAAGATTTTGAACCGTTATTTGTGACTATGATTTGTTATTGTATACTGCGTGTGTGTATATATATACACACGTACACATACATACATACATACATACATATATATACACACACAAATGTACATACATATAGACGAAAGTGAAGATGGGCTGTAGGCCCAACGGACCTGATATTACATCCATAGAAACGACGTATTTTTTAATTCCACGTGGCAGTGTTTATCGGGGACCCGACCCGAACTCTCCTCGCATCTCATTGGCTGTAACACGAAAAAAATTTCTTCCCTTTTAATTCTGAATTCTAAATTTTATTTTCCCATTAATACGAACCCGAAACCTTTACCAAAGTAATCTTGCAAAGAGACAAGAGCTCTCTCGTTAAACAATTTCTAGGGTTAGGGTTTCCGATCGATTAACAAGCCACCGTGATTTGTTGATTTCTGATTCTAACAAGCTGTAACGATTAAGAAGTTCGAAAATCCCCTGAGAGAGAGAGATTTGGAAATGGGTGCTGAGGGAGGTTCCAGCGAGCCGCCGCCCGCCGTTGATGGCGGTGCTGTCGCTGATGGAGGAGGAGAGACTGTTGCGGTGAACATCAGGTGCTCGAATGGTTCCAAGTTTACAGTGAGGACGTGCCTCGATTCGACGGTGGGGTCGTTCAAGGCCCTTGTGGCTCAGAACTCCGACGTCCCAGCCAATCAGCAGCGATTGATCTACAAGGGTCGGATTCTTAAAGATGATCAGACGCTCCTCAGCTGTGGTAACTTTTCTGTTGTCTCTATTCGATGGTTTTGTTTTGGGATTTCTGTTGTTTCACGCGGTTGCGTTACATTGTCTCGAGGATCGAATTAGGTTTGAGTTGGGTTTTCTGAGAACTAGTGATAATGCCTGTGTTGTTGTTTGGTTGAGGAATTGGCGGTTTCTGGTTTTGTTGTTTTCTGAATCGTTATAGAAGTATGTAGATGCATGGAGAAGCTGAAAGAAGTAGCGAAATGTGTGATTTCCTCCGTTCTATTATCAATTCTCATGTTATGTAACATAAGACAGAAGTGATCTTGATGAATATCTTTCTTGCATTTTAGGGATATCGTTCTAATGGTTACTTTCAATTCTTCTGTTACTGAGATAGTTAAAAGAAGAAGCTTCTGAGTATTCTTTAAGCTATCCGACATGGGAATTTCTGTATTTTAATCTTACTCCACTGAAGGGCCATGAGTCTTGATGGGTTTTAGCGCAGAGCCTTTGACAATGGAATGTTTTTTCTAATTGTTTTTGTAATTTTCGTTTTCGGGTTATAATACTGTTTCTCAGGTGGTATAATACTATAAACTACCTCATGAACCTTACTGTTCCCTTCAATGTGAATTATTTTACTCAAGGTTTGCAGGGTGATCACACCGTTCACATGGTAAGAGGCTCTGCCCCTTCTTCGGCATCTCCTGCTGTTCCTGCTGCAAATTCTGGAAGCCCAACGACTACTCCTGCTGTTACCCGAGGGGTCGGTTCAAATAATAGTCCGAATCTTGGAGGAGCAGGTCTTGGGGCATCTCTGTTCCCTGGCCTTGGATCTAATCCATTAGGCGGTGGAAATGCTACATCTGGTTTATTTGGAGCTGGTCTTCCGGATTTTGAGCAAGCACAGCAACAGCTAGCTCAAAACCCGAGTATGATTAGAGATATGATGAATACACCTGCAATTCAGAACCTTTTGAACAACCCGGAACTTATGAGGACCTTGATTATGAGCAATCCACAAATGCGTGAGCTTGTAGATCGCAATCCTGAGCTTGGCCATGTGCTTAATGACCCAAGCATCCTTCGTCAGACCTTGGAAGCTGCAAGAAATCCTGAGCTTATGCGTGAGATGATGAGGAACACTGATAGGGCGATGAGTAATATTGAATCTACTCCTGAGGGATTTAACATGCTTAGACGTATGTACGAAAATGTCCAGGAACCATTCTTGAACGCTACAACAATGTCAGGAAACACTGATAGCAATTCGCATTCGAACCCGTTTGCTGCCCTTCTGGGAAACCAGGGTGCTGTACAAGGTAGAGATGCTTCTAACAATCCTTCCACAACCAGTGCTGAAACGGGTACAGGGAATAGTGTCCCAAATGCAAATCCGCTTCCTAATCCTTGGAGTGGTACTGGTGGTAAGTTACACATTTCATTCATTGAACAAACTTTGTTTTGCTTATTTTTGTATCTGTAGAAGAGAGTCAGTCATAGGCTTAGCAGGTACACTGCTTTGGACATGAAAGTTTGATTGCTAATGAAAATGGTATTGGTTAAAGTTTTGCTTAAGTCAAGACAGTTTAATTAATAGAAAGGTGATTGATGTGTAGTTCTCAGAATTTGGTATCATGAATAGTTAGGTTGAGTATATAATTTTTTGTGGCAGTTGTTCGAAGAGCAATTAATATATGTTATGTGATAAAAATGGTATTGTACTGCTACATGGCAGGCCAGACAACTGCTCCTGGAACGACAAATTCTACTGGGAACACGGGAGCTCCTGGCCTTGGTGGTCTTGGTGGACTAGGTCTGCTAGGGATGGATCCAGCTCTTGGTACCACTCCAGATGCTTCTCAACTGAACCAGTTATTGCAAAATCCAGCCGTATCACAGATGATGGAAGGCTTGCTTTCCAATCCGCAATACATGAATCAGGTTGGTGTCTTGAATCCTTTTAATTCAGGCCTTGTTGCTGCTAAGAACATATTGAGAATTGGTCTATGGATGGATTCCAGATCATCAATCTCAACCCGCAACTCCGAAGCATGCTTGATATGAATCCTCAGATGAGGGAAATGCTGCAAAATCCGGAGTTTCTTCGTCAGCTTACCTCCCCTGAGACAATGCAGGTCAGTTCTGCTTCCTTGTCCTGTTCGTTCCAAGCGTGGTTTGTTTATTTGCTGAACTGTGTGATTTAATGGAAAGTTTGTCACCCTGATATTGCTGGAATTTTTTGGTTTGTAGCAAATGATGGCTCTTCAGCAGTCACTTTTCTCCCAGCTTAACAGGAATACGACCAGCCAGTAAGTCAGAATTCCCTTGTTCCTTAGTTTTTTTTAAGCCTAGGTTGAATAGTACACTGCCACACTCTATTATGAAGCTCGGGACTTATATTCTATTCTGCTATATATGCAATTCTTCCTTGTAACTAGCCCTGAATATTTAAAACTCTTTAAATGGTGAATGATCATATCCTTGGGTCAAGAAAGGATTGAAATCAAAACCACTGTAACATCTCTAGGAAAATTTACCTAAATGTTCGTTCATTTTAAGTTGATCAGTGTCTTAAATGTCTTCATTTTTAAGTTGATAAGTCCCTTAATCCATGATGTTTAATCCCGCCCTTTTCTGTCGTCTCTGCAGGGATTCCGGTGCTGCTACCACAGGTGCACACTTTGTAATCATATATAAATTGAAATGAATGAAGCTCTTCCTTTTCACTTCTTAAGAGCGAGTTAATTACCACTTTAAATTCATTTTTTTTTAAGGCGCAGGCAATAACAATAACAATAACGCGGGGCTAGATTTGTTGATGAATATGTTTGGCAACCTTGGCACTGGTGGCCTGAGTGGTCCGAATCAGCCAAATGGTCAGCCAGAACTTTTGTCACACTTGATTATTCATCTTAACCCTTCCTTATTTTTTAAAACATTTATTTCTTTTTTGGGTGAATGATGAATAACACAGTTCCTCCGGAGGAGCTCTACGCCACGCAACTGCAGCAGCTGCAGGAGATGGGATTCTTTGACAGAGAGGAGAACATCAGGGCCTTGCGTGCGGCCCACGGCAATGTCCACGCCGCCGTAGAGCGGCTCTTGGGCAATAACCTCGGCGGCCTTTAGAAAGAAGAGGTCCCAGTACTGGGGAGAGAAACAAAAACTCACGTTGGCTGGCAGGTCCGTGAACTTTGTTCTTAGTTCCACCATGCAAAATCTTAATTATCATATCATTATCAAAATATATCATCAAAGGGTGAAACTTTGTGACGTTATTTATGGCTCTTGAATCATACAGGGTTTGTTTTCAGTGGCACTGTTCTTCGTTTTCTTCCCTTTTTTTTTGTTCTTTTCTCTTCTCTTTATTTCTTTTTTTTTTAAAATAAAATTGTACACTTTGACATAATCGGCTTTCAATTTATAACATTTATAACTGCAAGGTTCTGTGTATCTGGGCAATTTTTTGTGAAATTTGATGACCCATAATGTTTGTTTTCTTTCTTTAAAAAAAAATGGAAATAGTAATTTAGCCGAGAAAATGAAACTGAGAAATTAGAAATATAACTAATTAAAAAAAAAAGGCAACCGCAACAAAGATACTTATCACGGAACACACAACCGTTCTGTCCCTCAACTGGAGATAACTGTCTTGCCCCTCCGTAACTTCCTTCTCAAGTAACCGTCTTCCCCCTCTTCTTAATCATCTCTTCCTCCATCTCTGCACCTCTTTTTCCTCTCCTCTTTCCCATTTCCTGTCTCCAGTTCTTGCTTGATTCCGATTATGACCAACAACTCCGATTCCGATCCCAATTTTCACCAAACCCCTTTCACTCCTCCCGATCCTAACGCCATCCTTCCCCCCCTTCCCCCTCCCTCGGGTCTGTCCTCGAGCAATCCGAAGAAGAAACGTTCGAAACTATCCAAAAACGAGGACGGAGCGTCGTCCACGAGTTCACCTAAGCCTCCCTCCAGGCCGAAGTACTCCAAGAAACCTGACCCGACTGCCCCCAAGATCACTCGCCCCTGCACGGAATGCGGCAAGAAGTTCTGGTCGTGGAAGGCCTTGTTCGGGCACATGAGGTGTCACCCTGAACGCCAATGGCGTGGCATCAACCCTCCGCCGAATTATCGCCGGACCGTTTCCCCGACAAAGCCTCACCATCATCATCAGCTCGGCGATTCATGGGTCTCGGTTATGTCTGAAGATGATCATGACGTCGCTTCTTGCCTGTTGATGCTGGCTAACTCTGCCGGTCCTAGTGGCTCGAGTGGTGCTGATTCGGTTGGCTTTGGGTTCGGTTTACGTGCGCAAGAGATCAACGATTCTTCACCTAACTGGAACTTGACCACCAGCAGCAGCCATGGTTCAGGATTCCGGTTCGAGTGTGGGGGGTGCAAGAAGGTGTTCGGCTCGCACCAGGCGTTAGGCGGTCACAGGGCTAGCCACAAGAACGTAAAGGGTTGCTTCGCCATTCACGAGACGACGATTCAGACAAATCTCGGTAACGTTTCAGGCCATCAGGAACATCACGACAAGACGGTAACGTTTTCGGGACATCACAGGTGCGGCATTTGTTGCAGAGTGTTCTCGAGTGGTCAGGCACTTGGTGGGCACATGAGATGTCACTGGGAGACATCAGAGGCCGACGACGAGCCACACGTACGGAACCGACAAGTCGATAATGTCGGTCCAAGCAGTTCTAATCTCATTTCTGCGTTTGATATGAATGTTCCTCCCGTTACAGAGGAGGAGGGTTCTTCTTCGTCTTCTTCGGACATGTCAGGTGTCTCTTTAGATCTCAGGTTAGGGCTTTAACTTCTAATATATATATATATACATACATATATAAGTGGAAGTGTTGTAATTAGTGTGAAGTGATTTGCACAAACATGTAGGGGTTTGTATAATTTAGTTAGAAGATGATACTGTAAAGGGTTTCGTATTCTTCAGCTCCATAGCTAGCTAGGAGGAGAGACAGTTTCATTTTCTAGGGTTTGTCAGACAAAAATAACCATGATCAATGCATTTCTATAGATTGTAATATATAAACCTAATTTTAAATTGTACCCCCAATATCTGAAAACAGAGGCTACTGATATATATATAGATATATAGATATGTATATGTATATATATCGTCAAATTCTGTATCTTAAACTCGGATTTGGGGGGAGAGCACATTGGTTTTTGAACGGTTTTCTCTTTCTTAAAGAATCTTCGTCTAAATCCAAGATATATACATATATATATTATTTGTGACAAATTCAATAACAGCGGTTAGATCTAAGAATATCTAAATACATGAATCTATAAAATTATTATTTTGTAGAGATTCAGATGCATTATAGGGAAGCACGCGGAGCTCACACACGTACGAACCCTAATATATATATATGTATATATATAATGTATGATGTAAGATAGGGGTGAGCGAGTAATCTACTTACACGGTCTATTTTGATTGTATTGATATTAGAACCATAGAGTTAAATAACACATATATATACATATATATATATATATATATATGTAGACATATATGTGTATGGCGTTATGTGGAGAGCACGTAATTGAGAGAGAGAGAAGGCATTAAACAATAATTGGCGTGACTATACCAATCGAATATGAATTGGATGCTTTAGCGGATTTTAATTAATCTTAATCCCGGCTTTACACCTAATCAATCTGACAAAACCCTTATTTTAATGACGTACCAATTTATTTATAAAAAAAATGCTAAACCATGTTATTTTTTTTAAATATTCTTGTATGATGTCACCGAGGGGGTGTGGTGCCATATTTAATTAAGCACTTCGCTTTCATTATTAATATGATTAAAGTCATTAACACAATGACATCATCTTCCATTATCGCAGGGATATTGCTTCTATATATATATATAATATAGTATATCATATGCATATATATATATACACACACATTCACAGCACCATCAAGTCAATTAGATTAGTATCTTAATGACGCAATAATCAACATTTTCACCCAAGGCTTGGCTACTTGCATGGAAATTTATGGAGATATACACACGTAAAAATTTACACATACGTACGTAAGACGATATATATATATATATAATATGGTGGTATATATAATGGATTTCAATCAATTAAAAATCTTAATCAAAGCCTAATTAATCTAGGAGTTTTAATTTTTTTGGGTAGTGTTTCCTGAAAAGCAACATTGTACGACGTGCCGGTTTCAGACAAAGCAATATACAACACAGTTTCAGTTTTAAAAAAAAAGATTGAATATACAGAGTAATTTATATATGTATGTATATACATGGGAATAATTACTAATTATAATATATACAGTAATGAATGATAATCAAAAGAGTTAACGAACTTTTTTAATTAATTAATTTTGTGGAAATTAGGATGCGGCGAATCGGAAATTGGACAATATGCGGGAAGGGGCCATGGCTCCCCGGGTTACTGAGAGCCATTTTCATCACATATTATACCTTTGTGCCAACAAAGACAAAAATAAAAATGTGGCTTTGTGTATGTAACCCTTCCTTCATTATAAACCTTACCCCTTGGAGTAATTATATATATATATATATATATATATATATGTGTATTAATTGTTAATCGTTAGAGAATGTTCGAGATTAATGACATATGAAACGAAGAAAGAAAAGAGAAAATCTAGGAGAAGATGAAGACTTTAGAGAGAGAGAGAGAGCTTCGGTAATTCCATTTACTGTTGATTTCGTGTTTTAGGGTTTAATTAAAAAAAATATATTTGAAAATTTTCATTAACTATATATTGTTAGGCTTTTTGGATGAATTTGTACACATCATATTTATTTTGATTGAATTTCGCATTGGATATGATTAATTTTTTGTTGTTATTTGATCAAAATACAATCTTTTTGTATGATTCACTGTTATGTAATATATATATATATAAATACACGTATGTACGAATTATAAAATCCAAGAGGGATTCATATAATAAGAATGACAGGTTGGAGGCTTTGTGTTGAACAAATTTCTGTCGAATTGATAATCATAAGTAATCTTTGATTAATCATTAATTATTCCTTAAATTTAATTAATATATGATTATAAGTTTTTTTTAGATACTTTACTAACAATTGTGACATCATCTCGTAGGTTTCCAACAAACGTGTATTAGAGTACCTTTCCATAAAAAAACATATTTATTTCTCAAAGTGGAAATATGTTCTTGTGGTAATGAAATACTTCCTATGAAATTTCATTATCTTTTTTTTTTTGTAACTTATGAAATTTCATTATCATCCATTATAACCTATACTTTTGCTCCACACTCCTACATTTTGGTTATGTTTTGAATCGACCAATTATTTACATCGTTATAAAACATTTTAAAATTATATATATATATATATATATATGCTAAAACAGTACAAGTCATAAAACCAATCCGACAGTTTTTTTTTTTTAAAATATACTGTAAGAATTGTATTTTGTAGAGGTGACCATTTTGGTTATTAACGAAATATTCGAATCAAATAAAGATGTATCTGTAATATAACCGAATCTCATATAAAAACTGAATGGTTTTGATTTTTCTAAACCAAAAAAATTAAATACAAACTGAACTGAACATAATAAAAAATAACTGAAAATATCAACAATTTATTTATAAAAAAATGAGTTTTTATCAATAAAAAATCGAATCCGAACTGAAATAAAATTGAACCAAAGTTAGTATAAAAAATCGAATGGTCATAATTTTTTTATAACCGAATATGCATATAACCAAACCAAAACACAAAATGGCCACTCTAGGTAGCATGGGAATCATTAGACATTTGGATTTCACTTTGAGGAAGTATATACCTAAGTAATTATATCTTTGTGAGACTGAATTTAACATATATATATATATATATATATTTAGTGGCGGATCTATATTGAAAGGAGTGGAGACACATGTCCCCATTTGGTTGATTAAAAATAAGAATTTCTTTGTAAAATTTATAAGATTTTAATTAAAATTATTAGGTGCCCCAATGATAAATTATTTTTATCATTCATCGAAAATATATCCTAGGTCCGCTACTGTATATATTACAGTCAAAATTGCTAGGGTGGTTTACAAGAACTCTGTTAAATTGTGTCAAAACGGGAATATATTCATAGATAAATAAGATAAATAAAAAAAGGAAAAGAAAAGAGATATTCCAGTTATTTCGAGAGGGGCATTTAGAAAGTTTCAAATTAGGGCTGATGTCAGAATTTGATATTCTTAAGAGTTGTAAAAAAAAAAAGAATCTTTGAGGGTCAAACGATTAATGAACCTGTTCAACACGACAGACATTGTCTTCTGCAAGAATCTTTCTCCCTCTCTCTCTCTCTCTCTCTCTCTCTCTCAACCAACTCCATTGATTCCCCATTTCACCAATCAAACAGAGCAAAGTACAAATCGCACACGTAATCATAAGATTATTGCAAATATGCTAATTTTGATGATTATTCCATACTTTAATCGAAAATTTGGAAAACAAAAAAGAGAAAAAATAATTAGCAAACGGGCAAAGAAAGAATCTGAACAAAGGCCATTATAACTCACCAACTACAACACCACAAGAGGAGGAACAATTTTCACCCATAAACTCCAAACTCTTCCATCTCTCTCTCTCTCTCTGTTTTTTTGTTCCTTTCTTTGTTTCTTGGAGAGGGCTGTTGTCGATTGGGGCCCTGCAGAAACAGACAAATAAAGGGATTTAATTTATCTTTTAGGAGTTTGAGAAATGGGGAAACTTTTTTTTTGCTGAAGGTGCTTGCAAGTGGTGATGGAACAGTGAAGAGATCTTATTGGATGCTGTAAAACGGGTCCACTCGGTTCTTGGGGGAAAGATTCTGCACGCCCACATGGTGAGAGATTAAAATAGACCAATTTCACCTCCAAGCAGAGCTACTTGTGTACAGAAAATACCTCCCCAAGTCTCAAAAAAAAAAGGCTGTTGATAATATCAGGCTGTTGTTGTGTGTGTGACAGAGGAATTCCTAGCTTTTTTGCCCCATCATTTTGTGCGACTTTGGGTTTGTGTACGGAGAAACAGAGACCCAAAAACCTTTTAACTGAGACAGAGTGGGAGGAGGCAGCTGAAAATCTTTGTTGGCTGACAATTTTTTCCTGTTGCTGCTTCAGAGTCTTCTTTGTTTTCTGTGTTCATCTCAAGCCCAAAGTGAGAGCCTTTTGATCTATCCTTTTTCTCTCTCTTGGTCCAAGGATTCTTCATAAAGTGAGTGCCTTTTGATCTTCTGTAGCTTTGGGGTTGTTGATTTTGAAGGATTTCTGGAATTGGGTCGGTCTCCTTTTTCCCGTTCTGGGTTTTATTCCCGGTTTCTTCAACTTCTACTGGTGTTGGAGATTTTTTGTTTGAAAACTGATGTCATGGGTTTGCTGATTCTTTTTAACCTTTGCATTTTCTGTCATCTGAATCCTATTCTCTTTCCATTATTTCTGGTGTCTTCTTTTGATTGTTTGAGGGTTCAATAATTGATCAGAGTTGATTTCCATATTCAATGTCTGTCCATATCCATAGGGAATATTGTACATGAAGCTGATGTTATACATGGATGATAACCTTCAAGTCAACTCTCTGTAGAGGCAAAGCTGATTATATTATAAGCTAACTATGATTTCATCTTCTTTTAATTCTTCTCTCATCTTGAAATGCAGTTCTTGATTGCAAATTTTATTACAAATAGGGACTCTGTTTTTCCGTACATGTACCTCCTTTTCTTCCATTTTCTTTTTGGGTTGATAATGTTTCTGCAACTTGGGCAAATGAACTCTCGATTCCTGGATAAGAAGGGACCTTCACTGAACTTCCCTCTCTTGTGCGTTTTCTCATCTCCAGGAGGCTTCTGAGTGTCAGTTCATGAAGAATAACACTCTTTTGAGAACTGAGTATTCAGGCAGATTCCCTTGGATGCAATATTGAAGAAAAGGGTTCTCTTTTTTTGTGATGGAGGGTGGTGGCGGGGATGACGGTTTTTCGCCCAATTCCAGCTTTGGGGGATTCCCGGAGACGGCTATGGATTTGGATTTCATGGAAGAGCTCTTGTTTGATGGATGTTGGCTTGAGACTACAGATGGTAAAAGCTTTCAGCAGCCGGGGGGGCCTTCTCCTTCAACTTCTAACCCCATGAACGACTCATCTTTCCTGTTCGGGTATCAAGACCCGAGCAACAGTGATTTCGGTGTGAACCCATCTCAGAATATCTCCAATGAAGAGACGAAAAGAAAGTTCCCTCCATCACCACCTACTTATCAGAAGATCGAGCACCTCGTTGTACCAAATCAATCAATGAATCAAGAACCTTTAGATCTTGCTGCAACAAGTTCAGTGCAATCAGAGAAGTTGCTTGTTGAAGGAGCTGAGGTGGGAAGAAGATGGTGGATTGCCCCAAGGGCAAGCTCGGGTGCCTCTTCATCGGTGAAAGATAGGCTTCTACAGGCAATACAGCATGTGCAAGAGGCGGTGTTAGATAAAGACTTTCTCATACAGATATGGGTGCCATTTCAGAAGGGAGGTAAAAATTTTCTTACCACACTAGAGCAACCGCACTTAGTCAACCCAAAATACTTGAGCCTCCAAAAGTACAGACATGTTTCAGAAAAGTATAGCTTTCCAGCTGATGAAGACTCGAAGGAGTCAGTAGGGCTTCCTGGTCGTGTTTTCCTTGGGAAATTGCCCGAGTGGACGCCTGATGTTCGTTTCTTTAAAAGCGAAGAGTATCCTCGTATCAAAGAGGCACAAAAGTGCGATGTCCGGGGGTCACTTGCCCTTCCTGTTTTTGAAAGAGGTAGCGGAACTTGCTTGGGTGTTGTTGAGATCGTCACAACTACCCAAAAGATCAATTACCGACCAGAACTTGAGAATATCTGTAAAGCTCTCGAGGTTTTCTTCTTCTTCTTTTTTGTTGTATTCCTTCACCATTAAACCTTTAGCTTGAATGTCTCTTTTATGTTCTGCTTCTTGCTTGTTCGAATCATTGGCATTCCCTTTTCGTCCTTATATTCTTTTGTCTTGCTTTCCTGAAACCAAATGAGAATAAGTAACCTTATGAGAGGAAAAATTGCTAGTCCTTAACGTCAAGATTCTTCGGAATGCTGTTGTGTGGAGTTGTGATTGTTCTTTATTGTAGGCTAAAGTCATTGTTGTTTTGCAGGCCGTTGATCTGAGGAGTTCAAGTAACTTGAACCCTCCAAGCATAGAGGTGAGTTTGAATTGCTTCCCAAATTAACTCCTTTGGTGAATACTTGGAAGAATGATGACATGTTACTGAGGTTATACCCTTGTTTCAGTTTCTGCAGGTCTATAGTGAATTCTATCAAGCAGCGTTACCTGAGATATCAGAGTTTTTGGTCTCAGTCTGCAGATCATTTGATCTGCCTCTAGCTTTAACATGGGCACCATGTTCTCGGCAAGGCAAGAGTGGATCCCGGCATTCTGATGAGAACTACTCTCAGTGCGTTTCAACAATTGATTTTGCTTGCTTTGTCCCCGATGAACAGAGCAAGAATTTTCTGGAGGCTTGCTCCGAACACCATCTGCTTCAAGGGGAAGGAGTTGTCGGGAAAGCATTCAAGATGAACAAACGATGTTTCGTGCCTGATGTGACCACATTTTCCAAGACCAACTACCCTCTTGTCCACCATGCTAAGATTTTTGGCCTGCATGCAGCTTTAGCAGTTCCAGTGAAAAGTAAATTCACTGGTGCGGTTGAGCTTGTGTTGGAGTTCTTCTTCCCTAAAGCCTGCATTGACACCGAAGAACGAAAGGAAATGCTCAATTTACTGTCCACGACTCTTGAGCGAGATTTCAGGAGCTTAAATCTTGTCATTGACAAAGAAATAGAGGAAGAGGTCATATTGCCTGTTAGAGAGACCATGGTTTTCTCAGACAACCCTCTCAGTGGTGGAGAAGCCGGACAGAACTTAAAACCTTCAACTTTGACAGAGATTTCTCAGGAAGAATCCTCGTGGATCTCCCACATGATGGAGGCAAACCGGAAGGGTAAAGGTGTCTCTCTCTCTTGGGAATATCAGAAAGAAGAACCAAAAGAAGAATTTAAGCTGACAACTGGGTGGGTTAACAATCAGACTGATCAGGGCCACCATAATTTCCTGCAAGGAGTCGGGAATTTTCAGCAGGGTCCAAGTTCAGGACCCAGGATCGATGTTGATCCCAGTTTCGTATCAGCTTCCTCTGGTGGGGGACAAACATTAGGCAATCGAAGACCTGGTGAAAAGAGAAGAACAAAAGCAGAAAAGACAATTGGTTTGGAAGTTCTTCGACAATATTTTGCAGGAAGCCTCAAGGATGCAGCCAAGAGCATTGGTGGTAAGAATTTGTTTATACTGCAAGAGACACTGGTCCACTCTTCTTCCATTCCTACATACTCATTTAGTCATGATACAGTAGCACCTGCCTCCCTCAAAGCTGTGGAACTTGCTTTATCTCTGTGACGTGCTCCATCTGACTTGCAAATTCTTCTTATAATTTGGGAAAAGTATAACAACCTCTAGCACCGTCCAACCTGTGGATCAGAACGAAGGTCTTGTTATATAAATCCACAGAGAGGAAAACATCGATGAAAGCTACCATGATTGAAAGCTCCATGCCACTTATAAATGCAGAGTCACGAATGGAAACATGTTCTTTGTTTTCCAGCTTGCATTGCAGCCTTGGTTCTGCCTTGATCCATAGATATTTTTATTTTTCCAGTGATGATTTACAGGGTTTCATTCCTTTGTTGCAGTTTGTCCAACTACCCTGAAAAGAATATGCAGGCAACACGGGATAACAAGGTGGCCTTCCCGGAAGATCAAGAAGGTCGGGCACTCGTTAAAGAAACTTCAACTTGTCATAGACTCTGTTCAAGGTGTGCAGGGCTCTATCCAACTCGATTCATTCTATACAAGCTTCCCGGAACTAAGCTCTCCAAATATGTCTGGTAGTGGCCCTTCTTTGAAGAGTAATGACCAGTCAAAGCATTTCAACACACAAACCGAGAATGGTGTTTCACCACAGGGAAATGCTGCCCCAAGGTCACCACCATCATCTTCTTGCAGCCAGAGCTCTGGCTCAAGCACATGCTGTTCAACCGGAGCTAATAAAAGCACCAACACTGCAAATACTTCAAATACTGCAAGCCCTTTGGTGGCCGAAAATACTGGTGGGATTTTGAAGAGAGCCCGTAGTGATGCAGAGCTACATATCGTGAATCAGGAGGAAACAAAGGGTTTGCCAAGAACCCAGAGCCACAAAACATTCAACGAGCATGTTCTTGAAACTTTACCTCCACTACCGGGGAGTAGCAGCAGGAACTTAAAAGCTCGAGGCACTATAAAAGTGAAAGCCACATTTGGTGAAGCCAAAGTAAGGTTTAGCTTGCTCCCAGGTTGGGGCTTCAGGGAGTTGCAGCAAGAGATTGCAAGGCGTTTCACAGTAGATGATATCGCCAGATTCGACCTCAAATATCTGGACGATGATCGTGAATGGGTTCTTCTGACGTGTGATGCAGATCTTGAAGAATGCATTGACATATACAGATCATATCAGAGCCACACGATCAAGATCAGCATTCACCAAGCGTCTCAAGTCAAGCTGGGAAGTTCTTTTGGTAGTACTGCTCCTTCCTGACAAACAATCTGGCAAGGCTGCGACTGCAAAAAAAAAAAAAAACAGAAAGATTCTGATGATTACTAGTGTGTTAGAAATCTCACTTACCTTTTTAGCATGGGCCACAGTATGTAAACATCTTTACAAGTGCCCTTGATCATACATTTTGCAAGTAATAGTAACCGGTCTGCATTGTCTTAGCAGATTTTTGTATAAAAGGCGATGCATTCCAAAAACTTGCTTTAGTATTTTAAGTTTGTATATCATGATTGTTGGGATTCCACCAAGATCTGCAAGTATGACAATTTGAATAATATCAATGTATCTGTATTTATGCTGAGGTTAACATGGATGTATTTTGGATGAAAACTTCATGCCAAACATGAGCGATAAAGATCCAAAATTTCTTATTAGTTTATCCTCGACCATGTCACCTTGTCTGCTGCTACCAACATATCTGGAACTACCAAAGAACAGCATGTGAAGGTTCAACTAAGAAAGACATGTATAACAAAAGTGGAAGTTTCAATACATAGATCAGACCCCAAAGCATCTTTAGTACCATTTAAAAATGGGCATCACCAGATACCCTTATAAGGCAAACATCTTAAGCATGACAAGAAGAGCAAGTCATGATCAGTGTGTGACTAGGTTTGTCTGTAATCTTTTGTACTATGTTGCCTAAAGCAGAAGTAAATTCAGAAAGTGCGTGTGGCAAGTCTGTTCCTGCAAAAAGTTACTTCAGAGTGATTGTTGCTTAGGTGAACTAATCTTTTATATTTACAAGCACACGTTTTTTATGCATCTTCTAAGATCTCTATATACTTGAAAACTATGGACGTAACTTACAGCAGACAATTTGCCTTCCTTGTTTACTGTCAACCTGGAATCTCCTCTGTTTCTCTGCATTCCTTCTATCTTATTCTCTTGTACAACAAATCGGAGACTTGGAGGACTTATTTGCGTCCCAGATGCAAGGTACCAGAAAAAGGAGCTCCAGCACCATCTGTTCTTTCTCATCAAAAGGGCAAAAAATACTTGAGAGTCAGCTCAAGCATCATTTTCCCAGAAGTCTAAGTAGTCAATTTTCTGAGGCTGCAAGCTTGATATATTCCCCTGACCCCATCCTTTCTGTATCCGTTTAAGAGTTTTCAGAGCAATTCCACTGCCATCATTTCTGTAAAAGAGCAATTGTCAGAAAACAAAATGTTAGCTGTACCATCAAGTTACAAGTAGATCTTACACTATGCTATTTGAGGATTCTCTCAACCTGAATGTGGCTTAATAGGAAAAATATGTCCATGAATGATTATTGCATATGCTGGACATTTATTACAAAAGAAGAAACTCGAAATTGACAAGATAAACATAGACGAAAGAATAAATAATGCATACTGTCGTCCTTACCTGAGCAGAATGTTTTGCCAGTCCTTTTCACCATATTTACCATGGCTTTCCTGGGATAAGTTCCTCGCATTTCCATCAAATCTGTTTGCTACTTCACCAACTGAAGCCATTTCCATCATCTTCTCAGCAAGTTCATTTGCCTCTTGCTTCTTACCCCTCTTACCTAAGCCATCTATCACAGGCATGAATGCTGCAGGGTCAAAAGCATATCCTGTGTCTATCAACTTATGCAAAATTCCACTAGCTACCTCTATCTCTTCCTTCTTACATAGGCTCGCAATAAGATCTTTATAGAGAAAGCACCCCAAGTCAAAACGACTCTCTAATACCGCTTCAAGCAGCTCCTTAGCCTCTAAGAGTTGCCCTCCTGAGAGCAACTCATTGAACATCAGACTGTAAAGGCTTTCCTTGTGTCCACAGACACTGACAGCAGTCTCAAAGACTTCCTGAGCATTGCTAAAGTTAGGCACCTTACAGAATGCTCTGATTAAATGTTTGAAGGAAAAGACATTAGGGATTACGTCCTTTTGCAACATTTCACCTAATAGATAAGTTGCATCTTCAGCTTTTCCTCCCTCACAGAGATATTTGATTGCAGTATTGTAGGTGTAGACATTTGGTAAAATGTTATTTTCCCTCATCTCATCCATTAGTCCATGAATTTCAAATATCTGGTTTTCTTTGCCTAAACCCAGGATCAACGAGTTGTAAGTCTGTAGGCTTTTACTGCAACCTTTCTTCTCCATGTCTTTGAGGACACGAAATGCAGATGATATTTTTCCTTGTTTGCAGAAATGATGGATAAAAATGTTGTATACAGCAGAATCAGGCCGCAGTTTTTCTCCCATCATCTCAACGAACAACTTCTTTGCTTCACCAAATCTTCCGGCTTTGCATAAACCATTAATTAAAGTTGAATATGTGATCAGATCAGGCAAGCAATTGTTCTCGCTCTTGCCATCATCCACCAGACCAATGAATGAATTCCCTAAGTTACCAAGAGCAGCACTTCCATGAACTCGCATTCCCCTCACTATCTCGATCGCTTTATCCAACTTCCCACTGTCACATAGTCCATCAATTATAATATTGCAGGTGACAGTATCTAGGTCATAACCTTTTTCATTCATCTTTTGCAGCAACTCTTCTGCCTCAGACATTCTCCCCTTTTTCCATAGGCTATGGAGCAAAATATTACAAGTATAAGCATTTGGCAAGAAATTGTTTCTCATCATCTCATGCAATATATTCTTAGCAGTGTAGACTTTCCCTGAACTACAGTATCCATGTAGAAGACTGCCATAAGTTATAACATCCGGAGAAACACCATTACTTTTCATCAAATCCACTATGGCTTTTGCATCGGACAACATACCAAATTTGCATAACCCGTCTATCAAGATATTGTATGAACAAGCACTAGGCTCTATTCTCTTATCAATCATCAGTTTAAGAACTGCCTCAGCTTCGATAAACTTCCCATATCTGACCAAACCGTGCAACCAAATATTGTAACTCTCCAGACTAATGAGAGAGCTACTCTCTTGCATTGACTCGAAGAGGGTCTTGGCTTCCTCCAGCATCCCTACCTTGCAGAACCCTTCCAGCATTAAGTTATATGTTATTCCATTTGGCCGAGGAAGCCCCAGATATTCATCAACCTCCATGTCCCTGAAAATTCGAGATGCTTCCAAAACTTTTCCTTCTTTGCATAGCGCTGATATCCTAGAGTTGAAAGTCACGATATCGGGAAGCAAACCCTCCTCTCGCATCTTCTCCACTAATTTCTCGGCATCATCATTCCTACCTTCCCTACAGAAACTCGAAATGACAGTATTGTACACGACCTTATTGGGCGAAACCCCGAAACTCGTCATCAAATTCAACAACTCTAGCCCTTTGTCAGACATATCGGCCCGACAATACCCCCGAACCAAGATCCCAAAAGTAAATTCATTTGGTTTACAACCCTTCTCAGGCATTCCGTCGAACAACTCTCGAGCAGCTTTCACACAACCGCAATCACATAGAGCACGGATCAATAGATTGAACGTATAGATCTGCGGGGGAATCTTACAGACGATCATATCCTTATACAACCACAAAACGAAGTCCACACGTCTCTCCCTTATGCAGCCTTCCAACAAAACATTATACATATAGATTCCGGGCTGGTTTTGGGGAAACCGCGAGCGGACGAACTGGAACTGCGAAAACGCCTTGTCGACGAGACCCGATTTGGCAAAGATCGAGACGACGGCGATAATAGAAGAAAAATCTGCTTTTTGGGTTTGCGAGGAGAGCATAAGCAGGTGAAGATCGTCGATTTCTTCGCGCATTTTGGCGCGAACAAGGATACGAGCGATCGTCGGTACCGTAGCAAAGGCGACGACTTGGCTTTGGTCGGAAGGGGAAGAGGAGACCCTCTTAAAGATTCTCCATGCCAACCTCGGATTGTTCGTGTTCTTCCACAGAGCTTTTGCAAGTGCACCACTTCGCTCCATGAAAACGTCGAGGAATCATGGCTGAAATTAAATCGGGGGTATAAGTAACCATGATCTTCTAAACCGGGCTCTGGAAAGAAATTTCAAAATTAATAAGAGGCAGAAACATAAAAATGTAAAACATTTGGGGTGATTCTATAAATTTGCAAAGTTACAGAACGCTTTTTCGTTGGTCTCCTCCATTTGCAAGTCCCCCCCCTCTTCGCGTCTTCACGATCAATCTTTCAGAATCAGACCCTAAATCGCCGCAAAGATGTCTCGCCGATCGATATCGCTCCTGAAGAATCTAGCGAGGAATACGACCGGGTCCGGATCGGGTTTTCAAACCCGATCGGTGACTTACATGCCCAGACCCGGCGACGGCACGCCACGGCCGGTGACGCTGATTCCCGGCGACGGGATCGGTCCGCTTGTGACGAACGCGGTGGAGCAGGTGATGGAGGCGATGCACGCACCGGTGTACTTTGAGAAGTACGATGTTCACGGAGACATGAAGAAAGTGCCACAGGAGGTGATCGATTCGATACGGAAGAACAAGGTGTGTCTGAAGGGTGGGCTCAAGACACCAGTCGGTGGTGGTGTTAGTTCGGTGAATGTTCAGCTGAGGAAGGAGCTTGATCTCTACGCGTCGCTGGTCAACTGCTTCAATTTGCCTGGCTTGCCCACTCGGCACGAGAACGTGGACATCGTGGTGATCAGAGAGAACACCGAAGGCGAGTATTCAGGGCTTGAGCACGAGGTTGTTCCCGGTGTTGTCGAGAGCCTTAAGGTATAAACCCCTCTCGAAATTCCCTGTTTTTGTGCCTCGAATTGGATTTTGTTCTTTTGGTTCATATGTGAACAAAGTCGTATGCTTTGTTTTAAAATTATGATTTGGAGTAGATTTGAGAGATACCCATTTTGAATCTCTCGGTTTTGAATTGTGACTTTGAACTTTAGTTTGGAGAGGAAGGATTTGTGTTGACTTTTAGATGAACTTATGGACTGGTTGCATATGCTTGATTGTTGCGTATCTTCTGGATTCGCCGCATCCGATCTTGTTAACGCAGCTTCTTTGGGTGCAGCAGCCGTTTGTTCAGAAATGATACTACTTGCTCTGTCTTATCTAACGAGCCAATTTGTATTCTTTATCCTTTATCGGCTCTGCATATATGTGGGTGTTCATTTGTAGATGCACTTTGGGTCTCTGTCTTTTTTTTTTTCCATGTCGTCTATTGATCCTATTTCTCTGCTAGGTGATCACGAAGTTCTGTTCAGAGCGTATTGCCAAGTATGCTTTCGAGTACGCCTACTTGAACAACAGGAAGAAAGTTACAGCTGTGCACAAGGCTAACATCATGAAACTTGCAGACGGTTTGTTTCTCGAATCTTGTCGAGAAGTTGCTAAGAAGTATCCAAGCATCACCTACAACGAAATTATTGTCGATAACTGCTGCATGCAACTTGTATCAAAACCAGAGCAATTCGACGTCATGGTATGTTTAAGATTTCCTCTCTCTGATAAGTTTTTTAAAGGTGGTAGAGTACATCCATATATATGCATCCTCCCCAAACACACTGATACTTAATGTTATTCACTTATTCTACATTTTTCCTTTGCTTCACTTTAAAAAAATACTAGTTATCTTTGATGGTATCACTTACTTCATGTTAAGCCATTTGCATTTGAGCAGTTTTAGGAAAATTTGAGTTAAATGCTTCTTTGTCCTGCCAAAATGTTTTTGAGTACTAAAGTTCATTGCCATCTCTCTGCACTAGGAAGTTAGTGATAGAATCAGGGAACCCAGTTCGAGTCAAAAAAGTTCAAAAGAAAAACCCGGGTTACACACAACAAATCTCCCGGTGTTTCCTCTTAATTTTTCTGTTCTTTCCTTTTATACAGAAAGAGAAAGTTACAGACGATGAGAAGGAAAATAACCAGGAAAAAAGAAAGAAGAAAACAAGCTCCACTAACTAAACGGACATGTTTCTTGTTGTAGGCAAACTTTTTTTTATGATAGATATAACATTGCCCAGCACGAATAAATGTAATCTTTGTTGTTGAGCTCAAATTCTAGCTGAAGAGAGCAATCTCCACTTGTGCAGTAATTCTTCTCTGCCAGTTTCGATTGTGTTATATCTCCCATGTTCTTCTGCGTTTTTTTTTCTTCGTTTTGACGAAGCTTATTTACATGATTTGCAGGTAACTCCCAATCTCTATGGGAATCTCGTTGCCAACACCGCAGCAGGAACTGCAGGCGGCAC